CCTGAAAAGTATGGAAAATGTCCGGAAATTTTCCGTGCGTCCGGAAAACATTCGGAAACGGTCACGTTTTGGAACATTTTCCGGACGCTCGATTCTGGACAAATTCCGGACAAATTCTGGAGTGTCAAGAAAATGTCTGGAATTTGTGCGTCCGGAAAATGTTCCAAAACGTGACCGTTTCCGAATGTTTTCCGGACGCACGGAAAATTTCCGGACATTTTCCATACTTTTCAGGACAAATTCCGAATTTTCTTTTTTTATAGGGCATAGTAGCTCAATCCAAGACGTTCCGAATGTACCATCTTGGTGTTGCATTTGTTTTTGAGGGCGCTAGGAGTCAGTAACTTCGACATTTGTTCTTTATAAAATCTAGGCTCTTTTGGTAAACTGTACCGATGTTCCTCAATAAATATGAGCTCTGCAACGCCAACGGTTCTTAGACATGACGACAGCGGTAGGTTGTTCACATTCGGTTCCACATCTGAGGTAAAATCCTAAATGAATCACGAACTGAAACGAATATACGTTTTAGTCCTTCTATTCTTATTACTGGTATTATTGGTATGATAAGAAGTTTTTCTTGCAGAAGTTGGCGCAACACCAATGACATAGAACTTTCATGTGAACATCAACACACATTTCGATCTACATCTAGCAAGCCCAGTTTTAGTCACATTTTAGGGACTTATCTCAGTATCACATGTTCTTCTTCTCCCTAAATAGACAATTTTCCAAACAAATTGTTACAAAATGTTTTAATGGTGTAGACTTTGAAATCGTTAATGATCGACAGGGTAAGTCTTTGTTGCTTCGTAGTGCAAGCAAGAAGTACCGGCCTTTTCTGGTATCGAAGTCAATAATATTTTTCTAAAATATTTTGCAATACAAACAACATAAATTTTATTTTTATATACTTGATATTTTTAAAATTTCTAAACCTTAATCAATTTTTTTTTAGTAAGCAATTAAAATTTAGTTGATTATTTCAGTAAAATTAATTTATTGTAAAAATGTAGAATATCATAATGAAAAAATTATAAAACGTTGAAATTAATGTTATTAATTTTTGCTCTTTATAATCATTTTAGCAAATTATATAAGAGATGAATTTCAAAGACTAGATAAAATGATTAAATTTATCAACCAAGGATCAAATCAATCTACGATTCAAAAAAAAAAGCCAAGTCATAATATTTCGTAAAATAGATGAATAATTTAAAAATTCTTTTGATACTGGTTTGCAATAAACAATGTCATCTATTAAGCAACAAATCTTTATTCTAAGAACTCTCTCGAGATTTTTATATTTCTTCTAGTTATTATATATTAATCCGTGATCCACGTGTCAATGGGTGATCGGTCAACTATGTAAATCAGGTAGCTTAATTAAAAGATTTTTTAAATCATAACAGATACTTAATAGAGAGTCTCTTTTACATAGACCACAATAATAAAAGAATAGTTCACGAATTTTTAAATGTCTAGAGTGAACTTTCTTATTATTTATTACTTTTTTTTATATTAAAATATCCATTCTCATACATATCTCTGACAAAGTTACGTTGGTTATTTTTGTATTCCTCTCTCTATATTAATATTGAGTAAAAAGAAGGTTATTTTTTCATTAATTGGTAAAATATTTCAAATTTAGCAACGTAACTCTGTTATTCTGAACTTTAAAATGTTTTTGGTCGCAAAACGAGTTAGAATTAAGGCTAGACATCTAAATTTAGCATGAGTATTTACAAATCATATAAACGAAAGTATCAAGCTCGGAAAGCAGCCCAAAAGAGTCTAGAAACATGACCATAATAATACTATCAAGGAAATAACAAGTCAATTAATTACCCATGGCAGGGGAAGTTATTGCGTCAATCCTTCTTAATTGTATCATAGGCAATAGTGATTATTATTAATTATAGTTGCAGTATTATTGTATTTATAAAATCGTATTAGGAAAATATAATGGAATTAACACGTGAAAATCTTCAATAGTAAATTTTTATATGATACCATATAGAGTTTTGATTTACATAGTTGACCGCTCAGTCCGCTCACCCCTGCGAACGATCTGCAGAAAATGGGAATCTGTCGTGACGTCAAATAAAAGTGAAAAATCATGTGAAAATTTATTGTAAAAAAACAAACTATTTGAAATTTTTGGATAAATATTATGTATTAAAATACGTGGGTGAGCATTATTTAAGGAATGAAAATCGTGTAGCAGATCACGAATTAATTTATTTTAGTTACAAAATTATACAAATATATAAAGATACATAGATTGAATATTATAGGTAAACTATATAAAATCTATCTACTAATATTCGCTAACATTAATGATTAATTAATATAACCTTATTTAAATCATTTATATTGATTACTTAAATTGCAGATTATCTTTACTATTATAATTCCAAAAAAACTATACTACATTATTGTTGAAACATGAATGTCTTTTAATATGAGAGAATTTTTTTTTTTTTTGCAGAATTTGAATGAATAAAATAAAAAGAATTTAGAGTCATAATATATTAGTAAGATTAGAAATTTATCATAGTAAAACTTGTTTTTGTTATTTCGAATTATAATTTTATGAAATTTTCATTAATAAATTTTTTTTACAAGGTCATACATAATTTTAATTTATAAATAAAACATGCATTATTGACTATTCTTATGTGTACGATTATTTTCATATGGTGAACATTCGCTTCTTTACATATTTGTCCGCAAAATTATAATATATCACGACATTTTCCATGTTTGTATTGGTCAATAGGGATGAACAAAATGGTAACTGAAACGGGTCTGGTACGAATAAACGGGATTTTGTACGGATCCCGTTTAAATTTATCCTTTGTAGATCATTAATTTAGACATTTATCAATTTATGACCGCATCCAATTGTTTTTCGCATAATTCTGTACATTTCACATTTTACATATATAAATATAACTAAATACTAATAATTTAATATAAATATTATTTTATTCAAATAAATCATTTATTAACAGTTAATTATTTTTAAATGATTTCTATTCTTTTACTGAAATTATTATGTTTATTTTAATTCTATGAAATTTTAATTATGACCTTGCTGCAATATCAATTCAGTTTCGATATATAAAAAGAAAAAAATTCATGAACATCACAAAAAAGTAACAAGATAATCAAAATACGTATGCGATATTTCTCATTAATAAAATAAAATATTTTTTCATATTTTTTGCTTTGCTCAAATTCAAAATAATATATAAACATAGATAAAAGGAATGAATACAAGATTGAAATTTAATTAATATTATCGTCATATTCTAATTGTTATTAACAAAAATACTACTGTATCATACAACTTTTAATATAATTAATTTTTAATGAATATCGATATTTTTGAACGAAAAAAAAAAAATGATAGACTTACCGTTATATCATATAGTCATTATGTCGAGTTCCGATTTCCGAATATGTACGATTTTACAATTATCGAATGTTATACTACAGTAAATTAGTAGTTGATCAAATAGAATAAGTTTAGAGTGTAAATCTCGGTTAAATCACGGAATATTTTAAATATAGACATTAATTGAATATATTGTTTATTTTTTTAGTTTATTTTTTTATATATATAGTATATTTTATGGTTAGTGGGACATTAAACCGGAATTGAGGCTTGGCCGATTCGGAAGGCTGGGTGGTAAAACATGGACGATTTCATACTTCGGACAAAATTGACCGGAAGACGATCTTGGCTTTTGGACAAATCGGCCGGGAAACCAAATTGGCCGGCAACCAGTATTGGACTTTGGACGAAATCGTACCAAGTTTCGAACTATATATATATAGGATGAGTTTGCGCTGGGGTAAAAGATGTGGAATTTGATTATTAACTGAAAGATAGAATTGTATTCATATTACAGAGCGCCGAGGGAGGCAGTAATATTGTAAACTCCTTTTTGTTCGTTAATAAAGAAACCCGCCGATCAGTTTCCGTTTATACATTTTGTTATTATTCTTATTGTTAGTTTACTACCGATTGTTATCTAATTTATTAATAGACTTTATATGACTTATTGTTAACGATTGTTTTTGATTCAATCATATATACACTATTTATTTAATTTGATATATTTTATTGTTAATTGTTATCGCTTGTTATATAATCGTTACCTATTTGATTATTACTACCTTACGAATAGTCATAAATCGGTGGTAACACGAACAATATATTAAAGGTAAATCAAAACGGAAAAAATTTTTTTTTTTCTATTCCGAATCCGAAAAAAATGAATATTAGCCTGTTATATGAGCAAGAAGAATTTAATCAAAAATTTGGATTATGTCCTGAATGTAATCAACCAAATACACATGTGAATTGGTGCAAAGAATGTAATTCTAAAAGATTTCAGAAAAATTTTGATAATTGGACCAGCGGAAATGAGTGTATTGATAAATTTATTCAAGAAGCACAATTAGAAGCAAAGAATAGATATGAGTTACTTGAATGGATTCCTTATACAAAATTAAGGAATATTAAGTTTCTTGCACAAGGTGGTTTTAGTACTGTTTATAGAGGAATTTGGTTAGATGGATTAATAACTAATTGGGATTATGAGAAACAAGATTGGAATCGTGATACTTATGAAATAAATTATGAAGTAAATGATCCTAAAATTAAAAATCCTCTTAAAAGTAATGAAAATTATGCTTATCCAATAGTTCTTAAAAGTTTAAATGATTCATCAAACGTTAAAGAGGATTTCTTAAATGAGGTAAATATAATTGTCTAAATTAATAAAAATTCGTTAATATTATAATTATTCTTATTTATATTTTTAAATTTATAGTGGAAATTACATTTAAAATGTCAGCATAAAGCAAGAGCATATGGTTCTTTTATTATTTCATTATATGGAATAACACAGGATCCAGATACATTAAATTATATGATTGTAATGCATGTAGCATTGGGTAATTTAAGAGATGATTTATTAACAATAAAATATAATCCAAATGATAAATTTAGAATCTTATATAATATTACAGTACAACTTAAAGCAATTCATAAATTAAATTTAATTCATGGAGATTTTCATAGTGGAAATATACTTAATATATATTATGGTACTTCAGTGATTAGTGATCTTGGATTATGTAAACCAGTTAATCAATCAAATACAAATGATGAAATATTTGGTGTCCTTCCTTATATTGCACCAGAAGTTTTACGTGGTAAACCTTATACAAAAGCTGCTGATGTATATAGTTTAGGTATTATAATGTGGGAGTTGACATCAGGAATTCCAGCATTTCATGATATTTCTCATGATTTTCAACTTTCTTTAGATATTTGTAAAGGGTTTAGACCAGAAATTATAGAAGGAACTTTACCGGAATATGTAGAATTAATGAAAAGATGTTGGGATAATGACCCTAAAAAAAGACCAACTGCTAAAGAATTGTTTATGATTTTTGATGAATGGGATGATGAATATCCAAAAGAAAATGATGATAAAAAAAGAATACCTGTTCCTGGTAATATATAATTTGAATTTTAAATTTAATTATTTACTTATTAATTATTCTTAATTAATTATAGATTACGAACCAGAAATTGTATATCATCCAAAATCTTGTTATACAAGCAGAAAAATTAATTATTCAACTAAATTAAATGAATGTTTGATACATGATAATGAATTTATTAGCGAAAATTTAGGTATGTCTAAATAAGTAATATATTGTAATCCAAAAAAAAAAAAAATAATGATTAAAATTAATTCTTATTTTTTTTACCATTTTATTAGATGAATACATGATTAAAGATTTAAAACATAAGTAAATAATTTTGAGTATTTGCGTTGATATTGAAACGATGGGTTTAAGTTCACGAAATTATTACATACTAAATTTATAGCGACATATATATTTATAGCCTTCAATTCAATATGTAACGTGTAATTATAAATTTAAAATTAAAATTAATACTTTTAAATTTAAACTAAAACATGAAATAAATTTCTGATTGATTAATAAAAGATCTGAAGAATATCGCGATAGAACAGGTTCAAAAAAATATAGACTAATAAAAATATTCCACAACGATAATGTATATTTATCTAACGTACAAAAGTCGGAAGGGTATATCATAAATCTGGATTTTTTTTAATTATAGTTGGTCTATTAATCAAGTTAAACAATTATGTAACTGTTATTAAATAAATTTTTAATTAATTTATAGGATTCTATTTACTTAATATAAGATGAAAAATTAAAAATATCGTTATAGTAAACAAAATCACAAAAAAAAAGAGATGAATTGATTAATTACAATTAGGTCAAATAAAATATAAACAAAAGGAATAATTCGTATTTGAATGGATTTAAACTAATAAAATGTATATATGAACCTTTATTAATAATTTATTGGAATATAGAAATATAACGTATTCTATATTAATAACATGAGTTTTAAAATACGGCCAAGTGCAGGAGGTCTCTTACATTGAGGTAATAGGAACAATCACGATCAAAGTAACAAGGACAGCAAAAAGTATTTCAAGTTCATAAGAAAGCTTCACAACAGAAAATAAACAAAATGTGAAACAAATAATAAATAGTGCTTAATAATGAATTAATTATAACGTTTAGTTTTTTATATATAACTTTGTTATACGAAGATCATACTGATATAGTGATATTTATTGAATATTGTGTGTGTTACCACCGGTTTATAACATGCGGTTAGGTAGTAACAGAAAGATAAATAAGGACCGGTTAATAATTAGCAAGATAATATGACGTTAAATATCAAGTGGTGAAGTAAATCGGATTATGTGTGCGCAAATAGTGAAGACAATTAAACAATATGTAACAAAAGGTGAATAGTAGCGCGTTATTTATTTAAAACATTGATTACATAAAAAATTATAACACCTAGAAAGAAAAAAATACTTAAGATAAATCTAAAAAACAATTGTTAGTCTTTCCAAAATCTATCCTTTGTGTAAAAAGCACTACTAATCTAAAAATATTTTTTTGAAATTTTTTTTTAATTTTTTTTTAATTTTTCCTGTTTTCTGTATTTTCTAAAATTTTCTCTGAGTTAAAGCGTTGAAATATTTATTGACTTCAAGGAAAAAAATAAAAACAAACACTAAAAAATTGTACTTTCTAAAAAAAAAATTGATGTAAACTAAAAAGAAAAACAAAATAAAATAAAAAAATTAAAACATTAAGAAATAAATCCGTAAATCTACTCTCTTGATGGAAATGTATCCAAAAATCGACCGACATATACGTACAGAGCGCCGACAGAGGCAGTAATATTGTATTCGTTTATTTGATTATAGTGTTCATTATCTTATATTGACAAAACCTTCACAATCGGTCGTATATATATCGTCTGAAATCCGGTACTAATTTGCTTATCGGACAAATTTACCATCCTCCTTCCGGTCAAATTCGCTGATCAGACGATTTTGCCTGTTTAAATCCTCTTTGACCTTAGCCACCTATCTCTAAGCCTCCGATTTCCATCTATACGCCCAATAACTATAAGAATAAACCTATATCTATATTTAATAAAAAAAAATTATTTACGCTTCGGACAATTATTATTATGGTTATTGGTTACTTTAATAATCAAATGAATGTTTTACAATCATATGAAAGCAAGTTCGTAATCGCCGCAGAAGATTACAAAAACCTTGTTTCAAATGTTATTAAAATCCTATTTTAAATTGTGATCTCATCAATTTTTTTTTTATATAATTTCTAAGATCAATTAAGTAAAATTATATGTTCGACCCTTTTTGGTATCATTTATATTTTTCTAAAAGAGTAGTTAAAATGATCAAAAAAGAAAGTTTTATTCTTATTTGGCTAAGCTTACGCACAATCACGTGATCTCATCACAACACATCTAGCGTAATCATATGTCATTTGTGTTATGGTTCGGCGGCTGACATGTGATTACGTAAATCCTCAATCTCCTATAATAATTCGGCAAATTTTACGTTTATTTCGTCCAAAAAATAATTTTTTTTTTTTTAAAAAAAAATGCAACAAAAACTTCCGACTGTAATTATTGTTGGTGCAGGTCTAGGAGGTCTTACCCTTTATCACGCCTTGATAAAAAATAAAGATAAAAAAGAATTCAATGTAAAAATCTTTGATCGAGAATCCAGTCCTCAAGGTATACGTAAAAATATATTGTATAATCATTTTTCATAATATTTTTTTAAAGAATCACTTGACTAACTCGAACACTAATTTCTAGATCGATGGCAAGGTTATCATATATGCATAAACAATTATGGAGCTCGATCTCTTATAAACTGTATCCCTTCGTCAATCGCTTTAAACCTTCCAATAGCAATGCCAAATCCAGTTCCTAATGTAGAATATCATGGATTTTCACTCTCCGACCATACAGGAAATCTGTTATTAAGACCTCCAACTAAACAAGCTAAAGATGTTTTCGAAGTTGCAAATACATCTGTTGGTTTATCAGTAATTATAACTTACCGTGATAAACTTAGACATGTTCTATTAGAAAATGTACCAGTTCAATGGGGTAAAAAATGTATTGGTTATGAAGAAACTGATGATGGTGTTTGGGTACTTTTTGAAGATGATTCGAAAGAATTTTGTGATATTTTAGTTGGTGCAGATGGTATCAATTCTCCAGGTAAAAAAGTCAAATAAAAATAAAGATACTTAAAACATTTAATCTTTTATTAATAATTAATCGTATTTCTTTTTCTCTCTCTTTTAGTTCGAAAACAAAAATTACCAGAATTACAAATTTTTGATTATGGAGTAACCATAATTGTTACAGATGTGACCGCACCTAAAAATCTTATAGACAGATTAATTAAACTCAATGGAAATGATACATTTCAGGGGACTGTTGGATTAAATGGAGAAGTTACGGCCACTGTTCTTCGTTTTATTCCAATAGAACAAAACAATGATGAGGATAAGAGTGAATCTTATTATAGGACAACAATATTTTTTGAATATCCAACTAAATTAGATGATGATCAAATTAATGTTGATGATAATGATCCCGCATCTGTTGCTGATCATGTTAAGTATATGATTCGAAAATTAAGACCAGAATGTGAATTGACTAATATTATATTGGAATTATGGGACTTGGTTCCTAAAACGACTTCTAAAACTTACAATCCTACACGAAGAAGGAAGCTACAAGACATTGATCCATTATCTGTCAATACATGGACAAGTAATAGAATTACATTATTAGGAGATGCCGCTCATGCTACGAGTCCTGTATTAGCATCAGGAGCAAATAATGCTATTCAAGATGCTGAAGTTCTTTCTCAAGCATTACTTAATTATTCTTCAGAAAATTATATTTCTTGTATTAAAGAATATGAAACTGAAATGTTAAAACGAAGTTCTGCTGACGTTCTAAATTCTAGATTTATAGAATTAAAACAAACTTCTCCAGTTGGATATATTGGTTCTATTTTTAGAAATAATTTTATTAAAATTTCAAATTTTACCATGAATTTATTTGATTATAATTTTCTTGCTAGGAAGAATTAAATTTTTACAATGTAAAATTGTAAAATAAAATTATTATACATATTTTTTTTTTTGATATATGATGTATATACAATACTGTATATTTATTTTATTTATTTATTTATTTGTACTTTTTAGTTTTTCCATATCATGAATAAAAAAAAAAAAGAAAAAAATATTTTTATTTTTTTCAAATAGGATTATGGTTTGATCAAATAAATATATTAAATATTATTATTATAATCTATTAATAAAATTTGGCCTGAGACGAATGAGACGTGGTAAATGTTTAAAATTAATTCAAGTTCACACTTAAATTTCATTTTTTAACAAAAAAAAATTATATTTCAAACATTATGATTACTATTCGAGAAGACTTAGTTCTTACTACAATTGATAAGATTAACAGATTATAATAATGAAGATACTACCTAAATTTTCAACAAAATTTCCTTCGAATTTTATGTTTGCTATCACGCCTTTTCAGATTAGACGCTGAAATTATTATATACTGCACTTCTTGCAAATTACTTTTCAAATTTTTCTTTCGCTCTTGCCGTCATAACCTTTTCTAAAATGGCCACGATGAATTTATAAAACGAAATTACAAAAGATGAAAATCTTAAGAATAGAATTATTAGTCGTGAATGACGGTCACACAAAAATGTACATCTGTCCGCCCACTTGAAAATTGAGTCGATGATTCCTTTCATTATACCATATCTCTAATAAATATAATCTATTACTGCTGTAATAATTTACGCAGAAGTTTTGGTTGTTTAATGGCCGGAAAGAAAAAAAAACAATTTTTACTTTTGTAAAAATAAAACACAGAAGCGGAAAGTTTTTACCTAAATCCGAACCGATCGGAGGAACTTGGATTTAAATCCGAAGATTCAAAAATTAG